TTGAAAAGTAAAGATGTCACCTTGAAGACTAAGGTGCACCTGACCTAAGCCATGGTGTTTTCAATTGTCTCATATGAATCAGGAAGACCAAAGAAAAATTGATGCCTTTAAATTATGGTGTTGGCAAAGAATATTGAATATACCATGGACTGCCAAAAGAATGAATAAATCTGTCTTGGAAGAAGTACAACCAAACTGCTCCTTGGAAGCAAGGATGGCAGACTATATCTCACATACTTTAGACATGTTATCAGGAGGGATCCGTCCCTGGAGAAGGACATCATTCTTGGTAGAGAGTCAGCAAAAATGAGGAAGACCCTCAATGAGATGGATTGACCCAGTGGCTGCAACAATGAGCCCAAGTATAACAATGATTGTGAGGATGGCGCAGGACAGGGCGGTGTTTCATTCTGTTGTACATAGGGTCTCTGTGAGTTGGAACTGACTTGACAGCACTAACAGTAACAACACTTGCAGATGATATGATACTATACATAGGAAACCCTAAAGACTCTATGAGAAAACTACTGGAACTAATAGAAAAATTCTGCAGAGTAGCAGGATACAAGATAAACATACAAAAAACAGCTGGATTTCTAAACATCGATAAAGAGAACTAGGAAAAGGAAATCAGGAAAACAATACTATTTATAATAGCCCCTAAAAAAATAAAATACTTGTGAATAAATCTAAATAAATCTGTAAAAGACCTATACAAAGAAAACTACAAAACACTAATGCAAGAAACAAAAAGAGACCTACATAAATGGAAAAACATACCATGTTCATGGATAGGTAGACTCAGCATTGTGAAAATGTCAATCTTACCAAAGCAATACAATGCACTCTTTATCCAAATACCAACAGCATTCTTTAAAGAGATGGAAAAACTAATCACAAATTTATATGGAGAGGAAAGAGGCCGGGGATAAGTAAAGCATTATTGAAGAAGAAGAATAAAGTAGGAGGACTCACACTACCTGACTTCAGAAACTACTATACAGCTACACTAGTCAAAACACCCTGATACTGGTACAACGACAGACATACTGACCAGTGGAACGGAATTGAGAACCCAGATGTAAATCCATCCACCTACTGTCACCTGATCTTTGACAAAGACCAAAAGTCTATCAAATGGGGAAAAAATAGTCTTTTTAACAGGTGGTGCTAGCAAAACTGAATGTTCACCTCCAAAAAAATGAAACAGGACCCATACCTTAAACCATACACAAAAACTAATTTGAAATGGATCAAAGACCTAAATATAAAACCAAAAACTATAAAGGTCATAGAAGAAGAAATAAGGTCAATGCTAGAGGCCCTAATACATGACATTAACAGGATACAAACTATAACTAACAATACACAAACACCAGAAGATAAGCTAGATAACTAGGATTTTCTAAAAATTAAACTCTTATCCTCATCAAAAGACATCACCAAAAGAGTAAAAAGACAACCTACAGACTGGGAAAAAATGTTTGGCTATGACAAATCCAACAAAGGCCTAATCTCTAAAATCTACAGGAAAACCCAACACCTCTACAACAAAAAAACAAATAATCCAATTAAAAAATAGGCAAAAGATATGAACAGACAGTTCACCAAAGAGACATTCAAGTGGCTAAAAGATACGTGAGGAAATGCTCATGATCACTAGCCGTTAGAGAAAAGCAAATCAAAACCACAATGAGATACCATCTCACCCCAACATTACTGGCACAAATCAAAAAAACAGAAAATAACAAATGTTGGAGAAGCTGCAGGGAGATTGGAACTCTTATGCACTGCTGGTGGCAATGCAAAATGGTACAACTATTTTGGAAAATGATATGGAGCTTCCTTAAAAAGCTAGAAATAGAAATACCATAGGATCCAGCAATCCCACTCCTAGGAATATATCCTAGAGAAATAAGAGCCTTCACACAAATAGACATATGCACACCCATGTTCATTGCAGCATTATTCACAATAGCAAAAAGATGGAAATAACTTAGGTGCCCCTCAACAGATGAATGGATAAACGAACTATGCTACGTACACACAATGGAATACTATGCAATGATAAAGAACAATGATGAATTTGCCAAGCATCTCACAACATGGATGAATCTGGAGGGCATTATGCTGAGTGAAATAAGTCAATCAAAAAAGGACAAATATTGTATGAGAACACTACTATAAAAACTCATGAAAAGGTTTACACAGAAAAAGAAACAATCTTTGATGGTTACAAGGGAGGGGAAGAGTAGGAGGGAAAAACACTAGACAATAGATAAGTGGTAACTTTGGTGAAGGGTAAGACAGTACACAGTACTGGGGAAGTCAGCACAACTTCTCCAAGACAAAGTCATGGAAGCTCCATAGATACATCCAAACTCCCTGAGGGACCAAATTACTTGGCTGAGGGCTGTGGGGACCATGGTGTCTGGGAACATCTAGCTCAATTGGCATAACATAGTTTATAAAGAAAATATTCTACATTCTACTTTGGTGTGTCTGGGGTCTTAAAAGCTTGGGAGGTGCCATCTGATATACTCCACTTGTCTCACCCCATCTGGAGCAAGGGAGAATGAAGAAAATCAAAGACACAAGGTAAAGATTAGTCCAAAGGACTAATGGACCACAACTACCACAGCCTCCACCAGACTGAGTCCAGCACAAGTAGATGGTGCCCGGTTACCACCACTGACTGCCCTGACAGGGATTACAATAGAGGGTCCCAGACAAAGCTGGAGAAATCTAACTCACACACACTCAAAAAAGACCAGACTTACTGGTCTGATAGATACTGTAGAAACCCTGAGAGTATGGCCCCAGACACCTTATATCTCAGTGATGAAGTCACTCCTTAGGTTCACCCTTCAGCCAAAGATTAGACAGGCTCATAAAATAAAATGAGACTAAATGGGGACACCTGCCCACAGTCAAGGAAGAGAAGGCAGGAGGAGACAGGAAAGCTGGTAACAGGGAAGCCAAGGTTAAGAAGGGGAGAATGTTGACATGTTGTATGGTTGGCAACCAATGTCACAAAACAATATGTATATTAATTGTTTAATGAGAGACTTGTTTGCTCTGTAAACCTGCATCTGAAGTACAATTAAAAAAAAAGTGTTCATCTACAGAATGCAAAAGAGGTGCATAGCACAAGAGGCTTAAGACCCCTCTCCAAGGGAACAGCACAGTAACACAATGGTAGGAATCTGTATTCTGAATAATTTACACCGCTCTTCTAGGAATTCTTAAGTGAGAGGGAAATAAAATTATTTGGTCTTAAAAGTACTGTATTGTTTTCACAGCATAACTTTATCCTAACTAATACTAATCACCTTTTGATTGTCTTGAGAGTTGTGGAAAATGTTATCTTTTATTAAAATCAATAATGTTATAGTCAACTGGGCCTTAGCTATTTTAAACAGAGGGAAATGGGACAAAAAATTTCAAAAAAATTGTAAGTAAGACCAAAAATAATAAAGGGACAATGCTCTAGTTGTTTCCATTAGGCTTTGAGTGAATTTCTGAAGTACAGTAAGTCCCCGGTTTAAGAATGTCCAACTTACGGATAACTCATACTTAAGAACGGACTGCCATAAAGCCTGTTGTATTAAAAATTTGTGTTAAATACAATGGTTCTCAATAACGAACACTCGCACTACTTTGTGATACTCATGAAAACATTGTGCTGCGTCATCTGTTCATCCACTGGAGGAAGGAGAACGCCGTCTGCCATTTTAAGTCAGATCACGTTGCCGGCAACGCTGTGTTGAGTGTGTAACTTTGTATTTGGCTTAAATTTTCGTCTTACTTACCCTTATAACCATGCCTCCAAAGCATAAATCTGATGCAAGTGCTGATGATGCATCAAAGAAAACGATCATGATTGAAAATAAAATGGAAATAATAAATCTGAAAGAGGCGAAACGCTGTTGGTCATTGCAAGAGGATTAGGCTACAGTTGGTCACTGGTTGGAACAATTTTAAAGGATAAAGTGAGACTAATGGAGCATGTAAAAGGCCTGCCCTGATGAAAGCTACAATTATTACTAAGCAACAGAATTATTAATTATTGGTTTAATTATTAAATGGAAAAGCTGTTGATAATTTGGTTAGATGATCAAAATCAGCATAATATGCCTATTAATCTTACTTTAGTGCAAGAAAAGGGGTTATATGGGATTATAACCACAGGCATAGCGGTTAGGATTTACAGCACATACTTTTGGGATACCTAATTCAATCCATAACATACATGCAGGCAGAAATGTACTTGTATCCTAATAATTCTCCAACCCCCAAGTCTGACTCTAGCACTCTTCTTTCTCCTCTCCTCTCCCTTGCCCTCCCCTCTCCTCTATCAATGAAGTCAAACAATTAGGAGGAATTTAAGGAAAGGACATGACCACAGACTTTCTATCTAAATTAGATATTGAAAAAAAAGCCCCAGTATGAACATGGAAAATCAAAATGCCACCTGGATATAAAACAATAAAAAAGATCTAAGGGTACAGATATTCCAGTTATGCTATTTACATAATGGAAGGAATAATGGGGAACAACAAGCTCACCAAAATGGATCTGGTACATTGAACACATTTATATCTAATCTGTCAGCAATCATGCAGTTCTACTTGAAGAAATCAGTGAAATGTTTAAATTTCCATTTCAGATTCAATCAACAACTTTGTACAAGTCTTGACTACATTACAATTAAAACTCAAGGGGTGATCTCTTGGGGGAAAAAAGGTAATATAGGGTCTGGGACATACTTTGGGATAGAAGTCAGTAGACTATGGGCGAAGGGCATAGAAGCAGGAATAGAAGATGAATTCCATCACAAGTGAGATTATGTGGCCATCTATTACTTCCTTTGGTTATCAACTTTTCATGATTACCTGGACAGTATGAAGGAGAGAATTCCCTTCCCAACCTTCCTCCTTATCCTAGTTACACAGACAGATCCGCGCACGCGTGCGCGCGCGCGCGCGCACACACACACACACACACACACACACACCCCTCCCTTCTCTAGGAGCTAACGTCTTCACGCATCTCTGTTCCCCAGTTGGTTTGTTTTTCAAAGGAAGGCCAGGGGAATGGAGAGGTTTGAGAAGTGTCTTCAGAGAAATCATTCCCTCTGGAGTAAAGGAAAGAAAAGTTTTGGTGCTGTGGTCACAGATCTGACAAGTTTTCGTTTTTGACCAGGGTTTATGAGGGCGGTATGATGTGTGCATGTTTAGAAACTCAAGAAGAACTAAAAGAGAATAGGAGAGAAAAGAAAAGAAGCAAACTCACACTCAAGAACCATAGCACAGTCTTCTCAGATACCTGAAGTTTAAGTCCTTTATTATAGGAAAAACGTGTAAAATCTCTCTGTCAGGAAGAGTGGAAGTTAATTATCCAGTACACTTTCAATACACTGATTCGACAGGGTGATTCAGAAGCTTGGGAAGAGAAATAGAAAACTACTTATATCATTTTTTTATCTTATCAGACCCAAACATAACAATGATACCAAATTATACAGGTAGAGCTCTCATTCTGCCAGTAGATATTTCCAAATTTTTGAAAACTTAGCGCAACATCTCAGCTGACTTTTGGTGATGACAAAAAGCAGATACTTTCAAAATACTCCTTGTGATGAAGCAGAAAAAGTCCTGGATGAGTAGCCAGCCAAACTGGGCTTTTGTCTCAGCTCTTCCATTAACTTTATGGCCTTCAGCAAATCAGTTAACTTCTAGCTTCTAGATATAACAGCATCGCCAGCATCACAGGGATGCTGTGGTATTAAAATGAGATAACTGAGATGAAAGCATTTTGAAATGTTTGAAATGTGGAAGATGAAATGTTTGAAATGTTATGTAAATACATATAATGATGAAGTTCTAGAGTGTAGGATCTGAGAGAGCTAAGCTGGCCAGTATTATAATAGGAAGCTTAGTACAGAAAAGCCCAGGCTCGTGATAGTATTGTGTCTGCATTTCTCTTTGATGTAATGCATTTAACAGAATGGGTTATATAGAGAAAAAGATTAAGAAATAAGCAGAGGAGGCAGAGCCCGGGACAGCGCGAATGCATTACCCATTGGTATTCAAGGAGTAACTGAAGACCAAATGCTGTGTCCTAACCACTGCAGGGTGGCATCTATTTGTCAAAGTGCACAGGTACCTTCGGATTACCATCACAGGCAATGACAACCCGCCTAGTGTTGGCCATGGCCCGATATCTGCAGTTAGGGGCCCTGGAACTTCCTGTCTCCTTGCAGTCTGTGACCTTCACTACACTCTCATGGCAGTTCATCTTGCCATTCTTGCACTGGATATTGGTGGTGCTGCAGATACTATGAATGTTCCAGATGTTTTCATGGATGAAGGTGTTGAAGGGCTTGCACCGGTTCGTAGTCATCTTCCGTCTTTGCATCATCAAGTTGCAGTAGCTATCATTGCCACCTGTCCCCTGAGGATCCACGTGTTGCCGCAGGAACCGTTGGTACATGCGATCTTGGCCATAGGAGGGCTGCACCAGCACCAGCCCCAGCAGGGTCAGCAGCAAGAACAGAAACAATGAACGGGTCCTCCGTAGAGTCATCGCTACCTTAGAGGTGCCTGGAGAATGACAAAGTTAAATTTTACTGGAGGCCTAAGGTCCTGGGGAGCAACAATAGTTAAAGATATCCCCCTACATGTTTGTTCCAGAGAATGGCTTACTGCAAACAATGGATTTATTAATTTCCTTTGTTTAATTAGAATAGGCTTTTCTTTTTTATCTTCCCAATCTTCCTCTCTCCTTCAGTCTTTAAGACCTATGACCTAGGAATACCTAATCCTTATCTCTTTCTCTCTTGCCCTGGGTCTCCTAGGATCCCTGTGGACTATCATCAGGAAAGAAAACATTCCAAAGAAAATTGCCCTAATTGCAACCTTAGTCAATCATTCACCCAACCTGGTGATCAACCCCCCTTAACTCTTTTTAAAATCTCATGGTCCCTGGAGCCCTGGTGGTGCAGTGGTTAAGTGCTTGGTTGCTAACCAAAAGGTCAGCAGTTTGAATCCATCAGCCACTCCTTGGAAACCCTACGGTGTAGTTCTACTCCGTCCTATAGGGTTGCTAAGAGTCTTAACCGACTCACCTCAGCAACGGGACTTGTAGTTCTTTGTTCCAGCATAGTAAGGAGTTGGACTCTCCCCATTGCCGAGTTGAGGTGCTTCTTCTCTGTTTTTTCTTACTCCATTCCCCTCCCCTCCTAACAGTCCTTTTGAAATAAAGTGGATCTTGCCTGTTTTTACATTATCTGGTGCAATTTTCTTCTTTGACAAGAGAAAGCAAGGGACAGCAGAAAGGAAAAGTTAGTAGAACATGGGCAGAGGGCCTAGAGACAGGAATAGAAGATAAATTCTATCACAAGTGACATTATGTGTTGGTAGCTGTCTATCTTCTCTAGTTGCTGGATCATTGTGCTGCGCGTCTAGGCAGTGAAAGATAAACATAAATTTAACACAGGTTTTAAACAAAAACCCAAAAAACTTCAGAGCAACAACAAAGAAAACAATGTGGTTTTAGAACGTTCACTGCTTTTGTTGGCTGATTGAAGAAAGGCATCCAGGCCTATCTGACTCCAAAGCCTGTGCTCTTTCCATCATGTTTTACTGCCTCTCTCGTCCCACTCCCTAAATATTCAGAGTATTAAAGACGCTTATGCTCAAAGTTGGTTCCCCTCTCGCTCAGTTTAAAGAGGTGAGGGTAGAGAGAGACTCACCGGCCAACCACGGCTAGCCAGACACTGCCATCTGGCGGTCACTCCTGGGATTGACATAAACTGTAAATACACTTGCCTCTTGGTAGTGAGGCAGCGCTGACTCAGAACAAAGAAAAATCATTCCTGATTTAACAGGAAGTAAGCAATCATCTCTACATGTGCTGTCCAAAGACTGGCCCCCCTGAACCCCAGGATTGATGTATATGGGCACTACTGCCCTTCGTTTTCAAAGATGCTGCTTCATGACGGCAGAGCGGACTGTGTGGATGGATAGAGCTGAAATGACTTGCAATTCGTTCCACCTAAAGCCTATCCTTTGATTAGCAATAATGATCACGATCAAACATTGCTATCATTCTTTCAAATGCAACATCTTAGATTCATAACATTTTTTGTCTTTGCACAGAAAGATATAAAGCTTTATGTCATATTCCTGTGCCTGCATTTGTAGACACAAGATATGATGTTAGGAAGAAAGGGAAGTGAAAGGGGTTGTGGGAGGAAGGTGGGTGGGGTTGGACGATGCTTTATTTACTCCCCACCCCAAGACCAGTGGATAACAGTTTCAGCAGAGCAAGGTACTTTGGGCTGTTTTCCCAGCAGCATCACTGACCTTGCATGATCTTATCTACTTTCTCTCATCATGCTTCTGGTGACCAACAACATGGTCTAGCAAGATAAATGGCTGCACAGAAGACTTAAAGTATTCATGGGGGACTAAACCTTTGGCCTCAGCCACACTGTTATGGATTGAACTGTGTCCCCCAAAAATGTGTGTCAACTTGGCTAGGGCATAATTCCCAGTATTGTGTGAATGTCCACCATTTTGTCATCTGATGTGATTTTCCTCTGTGTTGTAAATCCTATCTCTATGAGGTTGATGAGATGGGATTAGTGGCAGTCATGATAATGAGGGAGGACTCAATCGACAAGATTAAATTGTCTTGAGTCAATCTCTTTTGAGATATAAAAGAGAGAAGCAAGCAAAGAGACAGGGGGACCTCATACCGCCAAGGAAGCAGCACCCAGAGCAGAGTGTGTCCTTTGGACCTAGGGTTCCTGTGCAGAGAACCTCCTAGACCAAGGGAAGATAGATGACAAGGACCTTCCTCCAGAGCCGACAGAGAGAGAGCCATACTCTGGAGCTGGCACCCTGAATTTGGACTTCTAGCCTCCTAGACTGTGAGAAAATAAATTTATCTTTGTTAAAGCCATTCACTGTGGTATTTTTGCTATAGCAGCTCTAGATAACTAAGACACTAACCGACCAAGTTAACAAGACACAGAAAAATACCTGAGAACAGAGGTGCAATGTAGAGATCAATGGGTGCATCTCAAGGCTCTAGCTAGATAAGAAAATGAAATGATCCCAAAATTGTCCTCCAACACTTACTTTCTGGTTACTGACTCCCAATAAGAACCTCTTTTGACACTGTGGTCTCAAAGGTACACCTCTGCCACATGAGCTTTGTGACACCCGGGAAATTATTCAACTTCTGTCAGTATATTTATTCATAAGTAAAATGAGCATAAAAATAATACCTACCCCCTATGGATGTTACAAAGACTAAATGAGAAAATCGATGTAAAGTGCTTAGACAATGGCTAATATGTGGTAAGTACTCAGGAAATGTTGACAATATTATTTTATCATCACCATTTCTCTTGGTTTCCCTGGCTTCCTCTTATCTAGAAAAAATCAGTGACTATGCTGTGTTGTTTTCATTGGCCAATTTTTTCAGAAGTAGACTGCCAGGTCCTTCTTCCTAGTCTGTCTTAATCTGGAAGCTCCACTGAAATCTGTCCACCAAGGGTGACCCTGCTGGTATTTGAAATACTGGTGGCAAAGCTTCCAGTATCACAGCAATACACAAGCCACCACAATATGGCAAACTGACAAACACGTGGTGGAATTGATGCCTTTGAATTATAGTGTTGGCAAAGAATACTGAATGTATCATGGACTTCCAGAAGAACAAACAAGTCTGTCTTGGAAGAAATACAGCCAGAGTGCTCCTTGGAAGCGAGGATGATGAGACTTTGTCTCACGTACTTTGGACATGTTATTAGGAGGGACCAATCCCTAGAGAAGAACATCATGCTTGGTAAAGTAGAGGGTCATTGAAAAAGAGGAAGATCTTCAATGAGATTGACTGACACAGTGGCTGCAGCAATGAGCTCAAACATACAACGATTGTGAGGATGGCACAGGACCAGGCAGTGTTTCTTTGTGTTGTACATAGGGTCGCTATGAGTAGGCACCGACTTGACGGCACCTAACAACAACAACAATGCTGTGTTGACTTTCTGTTCTGTAGGTTACTTGTATCCCAAGAAATTGGAAGGCTACTTGTAAGCTATGAGATCTCAGCTACTGAAATTTATGTTGTGTCCCTGGAAAAATTTTTCTTCTCTAAGTTGTACAGAATTTTCTTCCTTGGATGTCACCATTCTTCAAGGACTTGACATTTTAGAGTTTTTCTTCTCTTTTCCTTGTGAAGTCAACAAAGCACAGCTGATATGGACTTCAACTCCTCAAATTATTTGCTTGAGATAAATGACTTGCGTGCCATTTGACTCTTCATTCCAAACAGCTTTTGGTTATGATAGTACAAGAGATTCAGAGCAAAAAGTACTAAGATTAGCTACCCAACTGCTAGCTCCACTCAGCAGGTCAGGAAGCATCCTCATCCCATGGCCATGTGATTTCCTCTGAAGCAGTCACTTCCCCTAACACCAGAGCAAGGTATGTAAGCATAATGCTCTCAGCAGATGTTGGAAGAAGACGTGAGTTTTCATAGCTATGACACGATCAGTATAATAATGGTTGTCTTAGTTTCTTAGTGCGCTATAACAGAAATATCACAAGTGGGTGGCCTTAAAGAACATACATTTATTTTCTCACAGTTTAGGAGATTAGAATCCCAAATTAAGGGCACCAGCTCTAGGAGAAGTCTCTCTCTGTCCGTTCTGAGGGAAACCCTTGTCTCAGCTTCTCTAGCATTCTTCCTGGTGTTCCTTGGAGATCTCCATGTGGTATTTACCTTCCCGTTGTTTGTCCTTGCTTGCTTCTGTGCCTCATCTGTTCTTGTTATATCTCAGAAGTGATTGGCTTAAGACACACCCTACAGTGATATGACCTTATTAACATAACAAAGAAAGCCCTATTCCCAAATAAGATTACATCCACAGGTATAGGGCTTATGGTTTACGACATATATTTTGGGGGGACACTATTCAATCTACAACAATGGTCTGTCCATACCTTTGACTTTCCCCATTAATAACTATGAGTGACTGACCTATAGGCAGTCACTTTGCCTCTCCTCAAGGAGATAGTACTGGTTAGAAAACTTGAAGGGTACAAGTTTTCTACTAAAAACTGAGACTTCCTCACTTCCTGAGAGGTTTTTGAGATTTATAACAAGTCAAATTTTCTAAAAAGAAGTTTGAAAAACTTTTCCCCCTATTTTCTTAGGAAATGACAATACTTTCAATTTTGAGATAGACTAACAGATGGTGGAGAGATTTCTATGGTGAGAATGCACCAGCATTCTCTATCCATCCCCTTCCTCCATAAGTCTGACTACTTTCAGTGAGTCTGGGTTCTCCCAGATGGCATCTGGACATTGGGTAACCAGGGCTTTTGACCCATTTCAAGGCAATGCAGACAACAGGAGAGGCCACCATAGGCAATACTGTGACCACTATAGTCTAAATTCACAAGACAGCTAAACTAGTGGCCTATAACAGTAACTTATTAACAATTACTTTCTAAATACTACCACCCATTTGTCAATTTGTCATATTGTGGTGGCTTGAATGTTGCTAGGATGCTGGAAGCTATGCTACCAGTATTTCAAATACCAGTAGGGTCAGCCATGGTGGATGGGTTTTGGCGGAGCTTCCAGACTTAGACTAGGAAGAAAGGCCCAGTGATCTACTTCTGAAAATTAGCTATTGAAAACTCTATGGATCACAACACAGTATTGTCCAACATAGTGTTGGAAGATGGTGCAGGACCAGGCAATGTTTCTTTCTGCTGTATATGGGGTTGCCATGAGTTGGAGGTGACTCAATGACAACTAACAACAACACTTTCTAATAAAATATCCAGGCACCTGTTGATAGAAACTAGGTAGCAGGAAGCAAACCATTGAACCTGTGGACTGATTAGCGTATTTTACAAAGAGAGTGTTTGTTAATCTAAGTTTATGTTTACTTGAAAACAAATCTAGTTGAAGAAAAATAAGTGATAAGTTCGGAATCTTTCTATAAATTTTCTAAGAACTCACAGTTGCCAGACATCAGCTGATGAAGTAAAAGAGTAAAAAGCAAATAATATAATAAAAAAATTTTAAGTTTATATTAAATAACCATTACAAGAGAACATCCTGAGATCATTCCATTCAAACCAATATCAAAAGTACTTCCTGCTTAAGACAAGAGATGGCTATCCTGAATGGATTCAGGTATTCATGCAGGATTAAGTGTGTGTGTGTGTGTGTGTGTGTGTGTGCGCGCGCGCGCGCGCGCGCGAGAGAGAGAGAGAGAGAGAGAGAGAGAGAGAGAGAGAGACAGGCTGTAATTAATCTGCTGTTCCTTACTCCCAGACTCTTCTCCCCAAGGTCTCCTATTTAGAAAAGTAATACTGGCTTATTGTTTGATAGCAAAAATAATTCGCTTCACCTGAAAATTCTTCTCATGGGCCATGAGCGGTGGAATTTTCCCAGCTTGCTCTGTAAAATCAATTTACCATCATTACCTTCATGAAAGGTAAAGCCCACCTCCCTATTATCCTTGGAACTGACTAATAAGGGAAAAGGCATTTCTAGTTCATCCAATCCTCTTGGGGAGCAGCTGAACAGAGAACACGGGGAAAGATCAATATGCCATGAGTCAGTGAGAAGGCTTTGGTTCTTACTGATTTCAGAGACATTTTAATTAAATGTGTTGTAAAACGGGAAACAAAAGATCCAGGTAGTATATTTTCTGGGCCTCTGGCAATGAATGTGGCCACCACCATTCTGCGGTGTGGAGGGGAAACACCGGGGAAAGATGGCAGCCCCAGGTCTGGACTAGTGGCCTACTGGTTGTGGACGGAAAAAGGACTCATCAAAGTGGACAGGTAAGTCATTTTTGCAGGCAACAACGTCTCTGAACACTTGCGTAGCTCTGTACCAGCATGGCGGCCAGGGGGACCTTCTACATGTCTGCAAGTGGTGATCTGGAAAGAAGCTTTGCTTATTCTTAAATTTTCTCCGTGGGAGATTCCATACTTATTTCCACAGATGGCCTTGAGGCCGCTCTCGTTGCCGTGAATGAAGGTGTTGGTGCCTTTGCAGGGCATGGTCAAGCCTCGTTTCCCCATTATGCTTTCACAATATCTGTCATTCCTGCCCTTTGGCTTGAAGTCAGAAGTGTTTGTAACTGGAATCATCTTGAGTCAGGGTTGGTCAGGTCAGACCCAGACCCAGCATGAAGACTAACAACAGGGGGTCCAAGCCCATCACCATCTCTTCCAACAGAGGCCCCTGCCAAGGGCAAAAGGAAGTATAGCAGGGGCATAGAACAGCATTGCCGAATTAGGCTGATAGAATAGGGACTTTTCTTTCTGACAAGGCATCATGAATCAGTATCCTCAGTCACTCAATTCTGTTTTTTCTTTTCTTTGTTGAGTTTCTTTCTAGATGTTCTGTTCTTTACCTGTGTTGAAGTCTCCTACTATTATTGTGGAACTGTCAATTTCTCTTTTCAGTGCAGTTAGAGTTTGTTTTATGTATTTTGGAGCCCCGTCATTGGGTGCGTAGATGTTTATTATGGTTATGTCTTCATTATTTTTTTCTTTTCTCTTCTTCATTAATCTCCACCTCTTGTCAATCCATTCCTTTAAAAGTCTACTTAATGGTTTCTTGAACACAACTCTCAGCCCCAACCATTCTTTTTTATCCCTTAGGATCACTGTGTATCTACTTTTCTATCAGTCTTAGCATTACAAAATCCATTCACATTCTTTAATTAATTTATTAATTAATTTAGTAACAAATATTACATAAGCCCTACTGAGTACCAAGCACTGTGCTAGGTCCTGGGAACACAAAGACCATTAAGACATACCAAATGCCTCCTCAAAAGGAGCATGCACCATCCACGGGGAAGGGGAGAACCAATTTACTGAGATGAGATAGTTATATAAAAGGTGAGAGCTGTGAAGAAGAGAGATTTGGGGAACCCTGAACATAGGAAAGGGTAAAGCAGATTATTGTTGAAGACAGGTTCCAGGACAGGTCAATTAGCCAGCTGTGAAGGGAACAGTTTCACCCTGAGGTGAAGGGAGGCAGACCTACTTCCTCAAAAAATAGGTGGTTCATGCCCAAACGTGGAATTATTGTGTACTATTTGTAAGAACAGAAGAAGGGCTTGGAAGAAGTCATGTAATGCTTACAAGTAGGTCTGGGGTCAACTCTTAACAGAGGGTTGGAGGAAGAATTCAAGCACATGCTATTGTTATGGGAGCTTCTCACATCAGGAACAATTTGGATTATTCTCAGAATGTTTTCTACAGTTTCCTTGAACATGTACATACATTGTCACACAGCAGGCAAACGATGTGACCAAGTGGTAAGTGGAAAACAACTCCTTAGACCTTTTCATCATATCAAAGGCCTTCCAATTTGCAGCTGTTTCTTGAATGTCTCCCTCAAAAGAAGAAAAAGAAGAGGATTCCTGCCATCATTGCTCCAGAACTGTCAAATAGCCGAATGCACACATCCCAAGGGTGGTGTGTTACAGACACACAAACATGGGGTCAGAAGGGTGCTTCTTCCTGGAGCATAATTTTAACTCAGAGATAGATAATTTAGAGTAGAATCACACAAATATGGATTATAATGAAACAGAAAACAACCTTTAAGATCAGATTCCTTATGAAATTTAAAGATTTGAGAACTGAAAAGTATTTGGTGCTTGCATCAGGTAGACTCTGACTATACCTTTAGTTCCCCTAGGGAGGACATGTTTACCTGCTCTGTACCCTTAGGAGCACATTGGTGACAACTTTAAAGAACATACAGAGCCTTTAAAAACCATCTTAGGCCTGCTCCACCTTATACCAAACATATGAAACTGTACCACATCTTACAATAAATATGATTTTTAGCCATAACTTTTTAATAGTTTGATTTTAAAATTGTCTACGAGTAACTCATTTAATTTGTGATCAGCTACGATTTCTTGGCAATCACCACACATACGAAGAAATTCTTATGAAAGGAGAAAAACCTGCCCTTCAAATGATTCTTAAATGTGATGGAATTCTTATGAATCCTAAGTTTAAAAAATAAATGGTACATTTTCGTAGACACTTCTTTAATTATTTATTTAACTTGCACTTTGCCCTTTTGTGTGTGAGGAGTCAATAAACATTATTTTTCATACCTCAAATATTTTTGTAGACCTTTAAAAGGCCATGGGTCCTAGTAGCACTGGGAGTATCACTGTGAGTCTAGAAAGACGAGGAAATCCTTGGTCACACAGGAAGGCACGTGATAGAGTGAGCTCTCTTTCTAGCCAGCATTTGGCATTGCTCTGCCTTGTTTGTTGGTTCCTAATAAACACAGAAAAATGTGGCGCACTACTGAAGAATACTAAATTATGATCTAAGGTGATTTTTTTGGTCATTTCACAATACTGAAATAAAACAGCGGCTGAAAAACTTTCCATTAAACACATAGATTATAATTTGTAATAGAATCAAGTCAATTTGGGTCCATGGAAGGTGAGCCAGAAAGTGCTACATGATTGCAGAGGGGAGAGCCACGGCTAAAAGAGTATGTATTCATACATTGTCACCACTCCAACTAGCTGCTGGGCTGCCACGCTGCCCACGTGCCCAGCTCTTTACATTGACATTGTGCTTTTCAGTCTCCTGAGTGTGTTTTCTCTTTCTAGTTTTTTGGAAGACCTTATCAAAGTTTTATTGATTTGTAATCAATTTGTAATGTCTTGCTCTATGTGGACAAATATTGGCTTCTTTAATGTCAAAGGCAATTGCAGAGTGACAGGTTCACAGGATTGGAAGGGACCTTAGAAGTCACACAGTCACAGTCCACAGGCCTCTTCCTTGTGCCAGAATCCCACAGTACAAAAATCAGGAAGTAGAACCAGAGCTGGTACTACCCCAAAGAGTCATTAGGTGGCAGTGGTGGATAAGAATGTGGCTGTTGTCGTCTATGCTGTCTTAGAGTTAGTCAGTCTTTGTAGGAGGTGCCAGTGTTGTACACATCATGCGGATACTGATGGTCACAGAAAAGAGTCTGAGCTAGCAGGACTATCTAGAGTCTCTATCCCAGTTCTCTGTGATTTAGATATTAAGACCAAGGACATCTCACTAGACACAAATGCTTCAAAACAAAAGCTATAAAGCTCAAGATCTGCCAACAGGATATCACAAAGTAAAGATGTACCTGTTGTCAGGTTTCATGGGCACCATTTTCAAGCGTGACATTATTCATGTGATCTTGGGCAAACTGTCGTTTATTTAGTTGTCAGTGTTTCCTACTGGTGTATAATCTACAGGAGGGCCAGGCCCATGTTATTCACCCTTGAATCACACTGCCTGCCTCACAGTAAAAAACTTGTTGCTGTCGAGTCAATTCCAACTCATAGCGGCCCTATAGGACAGAGTAGCACCTCCCCATAGGGTTTCCAAGGCTGTAATCCTTACAGAAGCAGACTTCCACATCTTTCTCCCTTGGAGCGGCTGGCAGATTCCCTCGATAAATTTTTTTTTAAATGGTTGACTTCATTTCCCTCTCCAGACCTAGTTTGTTCATCTGTAAAATGAGAGTTGCTAGCTCTAAAAGTCTGAAAGTCCGTGGCTCTCATGAAAGGTAAGAGAGGCTTTCCTAGTTTCACCAGTAAAAGACTAATGACCATGAACTCATAGAGACAAGTTTAGTTGGTGGCACAATGCACCAGCTGGAAGAAGGGGATGACCAGGTGATGGATGGCCCAATCTCACTGAGATGCATCATCCCTTAAGATTCAGCATGTAAGCCGAGCCCTTACATCACTACTAGTTAAGGCACTGGACTGACACTCCATGGAAGGTTTGCCTCCTAAAAAGCCACTTGCTCTTTGGAGGTTGAAGGCCCTCCCATCCCACTCTGGAGAGGTAAAGAGTATTTTTGTTTCTGATTTGTATAATTTGCACATTCATCCCATAACAACTCAGTGAAGGTTCGTTCGCCTTAGGTTTATTGTCATCTTGACTCCCTAAGACACCCAGAACCCAAATCTCAGAAAGCACACACTGTGGCCACCAATATTTAACATCTATTCCCTGACTAGAAACTGTGATGGTGTAGTGGCTAAGTGCTACGCCTGCTAACCAAAAGGTTGGCAGTTTGAATCCACCAGGTGCTCCTTGGAAACTCTATAGGGCAATTCAACTCTGTCCTACAGGGTTGCTATGAGTCAGAACTGACTTGCTGGCAGTGGGTTTTTTTATTCCCCCACTCACAAATTCCTCACTCTTATATGCAATTCTAAATTTTCCAACAAAACAGAATTGGGAGAAAATAAGTAAGAGACATTATTTGTGGTGCAGAAGTGAATCTTTCCAGGCCAGGTGTGTAGACCTTTACATCTTGATGCTGAAACTCATTACATACATATCCTGTCAGTCAGCTTTTCATCAGTGGAATTTGTCACAACTGTTCTTTAGACTAACTTTGTCCTCTGTCTCAAACCAGTCCTCACAAGAATTAATATTCCCTTCTGGCCCCAGGCAATGGCTTGTGTTCAAGAGATCTATCAAACTTTGTGCACCAAGGAGTTAACTTGACTGCTTATGGTCATAATTTCCATAGATGGAGATTCACATTCTCATATATTCTAGGGCAAAAGACTCAAAAGTGAAAGCATAACATATTTCCTTACTTCTTTTCTTTCTTCCTTCCCTTCAACCTGCCAGTGTACCTTCTTTTGATCTTGGGATGTGTTCTACTTTACTTTTAAAGAGCACCCAATTTTTTTTTGTCATTTTTTACATTATTTATTTTTACTGTAGTTTAGATGAAGGTTTATAGAACAAACTAGCTTCTCATTAAACAGTTAGTACATATATTGTTTTATGACATTGGTTAACAACCCCATGACATGTCAGTACTCTCCCTTCTTGACCTTGGGTTCCCTATCCAAAATTTTTTAAAGAAATTAACAGGAAAGGTGAAAAGGAAACAGTGCTAAAAGCATACTTACTGTTTCTTTCCTTGTTGAGCAACACATAATGCCTGTGCCCAGGGGCTCCAGATGCCCAGCAGTAAATTGCATCCCCAGACCTTTTGGGACTTTATCACAGTTCAGGAATCCCTCCTAAATCTCCATTTACTCTCAGTCTCACTAATTTCCCTTTGTTCACATACACAAACCAAAACTCATTGTTGTCGAGTTGACCACAACTCATAGTGACCCTACAGGACACAGTAGAACTGTCCCATAGGGTTTCCAAGGCTGTAAATCTTTATGGAAGAAGACTGCCACATCTTTCTCCTGCAGAGCAGCTGGAAGGTTCAAATCGCCTACCTTTCCGTTAGCAGCTGATCGTTTTAACCACTGCGCCACCAGGGCTCCTTTACCCACATGTACCAAACCTGTTGCCATCTAGTAGATTTCGATTCATAGCGACCCTATAAAAAAACCCATTACTGTCAAATTGATTCCAACTCATAGTGACCCTACAGGACCGTGCAGAACTGCCCT